CACGGCACAAACAACCCCGGCAGCCGTCACCCCGTCCCCTTTTTCGTTTGCCTGACTTCCAACGCGGACGCGTAAGACGCGACAAAAGCGAATCGGATATATACTTGAGAAAAAGGTAGAAATAATCGAAGTGAAATCCACACCTCTCTATAGATAATGTTAAAAATGAAGAATCTTCTAATTGAGGGAGGTAATAAATGGAATGTTATTTTTTTTTTCAATCTTTTTTATCTCAATTCGTTTTTCACGCAGCGTGTATTTTACGAGTGTTTCTAAGACTTTTGCGACAACCAGTAGCACAGCCGCATCTGATAACGAGGTGCGTGACATTCTCGAAGCGCGTTGCACAGCCGCGTACATTTCATTCGTGTATACGATACTTGCATAGGACGGCAGCGTATGTTACGTGAACGTGCGAATGCGTTTGCTTCTGAGAAGTAGTAGAGGGAAAGGAAGGGAAACAGAGAACCATAGTTTATTATCGTTGTCATTATCTGGGAATTTTTTTATAAACATTAAAAGAGATAGTTGTGCGTATTTTTATTTTATTTATAAGACTTGCTTTTGGACAGGGTTGGCAAAAGTTCACATTTTTTGGATAAAGTCCAGGCCAGTGATAAAAACCGGTATTTTCCGGAAAAAACCGGCAGAAAACCTGGTCTTTTCTATTAAAAATATAAATCAAATAAATAGATTTGATTATTTTGAGTAAAAATACATTAAGAGGAAGACATAAGGGTCCTGTATGGACTTGCTTTGAATCTTGCACAGTTGACAACATTATTAAGCAGAAATATATTGCTTGTGGAACATTAGTTAGTGGAAAAGCTCCACGACTGAAACAACATCTTCAAAAGTGTAGTAAGTTTGAGAAGAACGATGATGATAATTCAAGTAAAAGTGAATCAGACAGGAAGAGTGAAATGAATAAATCAAGTAAAAGAAGAGAGATGCATCGATACCGAATCACCTTCACGTTCTTATATTTTAAAGCAGCAGTTTTATAGTTTTTTACCAGTTTATTATTCCAGTGGATAAACTCCGGACCGGTAAAATCCGGAATTTATCCTGGTTTTTTCCACCCACTGGATTTTTCCTGCCAACCCTGCTTTTGGAACAAGTAATACAAGAAGCCTCTTTAATACTAAAGAAGTGTAAGTTGCCTGAAAACATACATTAAAAAAAGAACAGGGAAAACATATGTTTGCCGTCATAACGGAATGAAAGGAAATTTTGCTCAAATGCAAAAGACTCATTCTAACCATTATCCTGTGTTTTTACGTATAACTTGTTATTACTCCGTGTGCGTAAATGCATTCAACTGATTCTACTCTGTGCATGG